GGATGATCTTCTCAACACCGGTTCAGGTGTCACTTGCTCTACTGCTGGTTCATCTGCAACAACCTTAGGAGTTTGTTGAGTATCTGCTACAAGATCACTAGGTGATTTTTTCCGCAATTCAACCTCAACTCCCACTTGCTTTTTTGTCTTGGAACCTTGCTCCACATTTGGTTCCTCAGCAGTAGTCTCAAGAGTTTCTTGAGTATTTGCTACAACATCACTAGGTGAGTTTCCCTGCAACTCAAGCTCAACTCCCACTTACTTCGTGGTCTTAGAACCTTGCTCCACATCTAGTTCCTTAGAAGTAGTCTTAGGAGTTTCATGAGTATCTGCTACAACATCACTAAGTGAGTTTTTCTGCAACTCAAACTGAACTCCCACTTGCTTCGTCAAACCTTGCTCCACATATGGTTCCATTTCCAACCGCACTTTTTTCAATTCTCTGGCGGTTCTTGTGAAGCTAACTCGTTTCTGCTTGCTCATAACATAGTTCTCACAACGACCCACATCAACAGATTTCAGACCTTCTAAAACTTCTTTCGCAATCAGCCTCTTCATTCCTTTCGCGCTCATATGTTCAAGTCTATTGTGCCTTAGACTTGAATTTGAAGCACTCTCAGCAACAGCAGCTATGTTCTTACACCCTGCAGTTGTGTATAAGGTTCTAGATTTTGAGCCACGTGCTACCACCGTAACACCCTTTGGTAGCACCCTTCATAATCTTCCACGAACTCTTCCTTAACTTTGGAGCATAGCCTGTGCTGTCCAACTGACCAATAGAGATCAGGTTTCTTTTGAGACCAGGAATATATATGAAATTCTTTAATGTCCACTTATTTCCTGCCAGAGTTTTTATGTAGACATCTCCTTTTCCTTTAATCTCTAAATCTTTGTTGTCGACAAGATACACCTTCTCGAAATTTCCAGACTTGAAATTCCGGAGCAATTCTTTATTTGGAGACGAATGATAAGATGCACCTGAATCCAAAATCCAGGATTCAATCGAATTGTCCACGCTGAGAATTAGAGCATCCCCAATGTCTTCTGCTAAATTTATAGAATCATCATCATCTCTAGATTTGTGATTCTGCTTCCTCTTTGGTCTTGTACAACCTGTCCGAAAGTGACCTTTTTCTCCACAATTCCAACACGTTACGTTTGGTCTATTTGGAGATTTTTCTCGGTTCTTTGATTTTGATCGCCATTTGTTTGGGCCCTTCAGTTTACTTCTTCCTCGTTGGTCAACACAGAGAGCACTACCAAATGAATTTCCAATTTCTCGTTTGCGAGTACTTTCGCTGAGAACTACATCTCGAATTTCATCAAATTTCAGTTTATCAGATCTTCGAGAACTGCTGATTGCGGCAACAACAGTATCCCATGACTCGGGTAAGAATGACATCAAAATCAACGTTTTAATTTCATCTTCGAAATTAATTTCCACCGAACTTAGTTGACTTATGATCATATTGAATTCATTTATATGATCAGCAATAGATCCACCTTCAGACATCTGTAGATTGAACAATCTCCACATCAAATACACCTTGTTCATAGCCGACGGTTTTTCATACATATTTGACAGCGCCTTCAATAGATCTGATGTTGTCTTCTCCTTGATAATGTTAAACGCCACGTTTTTGGATAGCGTCAACCGAATCAGCCCCAAGGTTTGTCGATCCTTTAGCTTCCACTGCTCCGTAGTCATGGTATCCGGCTTCACCGCTAACAGAGGTTCGTGAAGATCTTTCTGGTACAGTAGCTAATTCATTTCCTCTTTCATTCTCTTCTTCATTCATTTATTCAAACACAGTAAAGGATCTCTCATTAATCTTTCTTCTTCTTTTCTTACTGTTCAATCTAATCTGTCTCATTCATCTTTCGGTTCGGCTTTACAGTGAAAGAAAGAAATTTGGGAGACTCAAGCAAGATGAAACTAAACTCCTTTACCTGAAAATCAGACTCTCTACCTCAACCCTATCCCTGACGAGAATACAAGAAGAAGAAGAAGAAGATATTCCTTGAAATGCAAGGAGAGTAAATTCATGAAATCAGGTCAGGGGGATGAATTAAACTGATTTCACTCTTGAACAAGCAAGGTAAGTCAAGCGGCTGGATGAGAATCAGGGAAAGCTCATTCACCTGATGGAACCCTAGGGATTCTTTCCTCCTTCACTCTCAGAAACAAGGTAAAGTAAAGCAGCTAATGAATTGACTCTCTCTCACTGATTTCACTCTTGAACAAGACTAGGATTACCTCATTCACTTTAGTTCTGGTTCTTTATTCTTTCACGAACTGTAAACCCTCAAGATTCATTTGACTCAACTTTCACCTTAAACCTTTTCTTTCCTAAACCTCTTCTTCTTTCTTCTACTTTCAAGACTCAACCGAAACAAACCTTTTTCCTTCTTTTACTCGGTAAGTAAACAGGACGGTCGATTCTTCCTTCTTTCACTATCTCTTTAACTGTAAGTGTTGAAAGGAAAAACTCAACTCAACAAGATCAATACTCCTTATGAATGAGTGAACCTCCTAAACTATGAGCTTCTATAAGGAACCGGAACCTTATACTTTATTACCTTCTCAGAACCTTTGAGTAATTGAACTAGGTAAACTCCTTCACTTTCAGAACCTTTACAAGAAAGAAAAGAAAAGGCTATAAAATCAAGTAGATCGATCCTAACTCACAATTGAACTAGCACAGGAATGTCACTGGCTAACAAAAAGGGATGCCTAATAGTCAGCCTTCATCCTGGGAAGCCAAGGTGTTTAGCGAGAAATACGCAGAAGCCGGTAATGGATCGTCTGCTATCGGGGCAGCCAGCCCAATCGGCATTGGAGAATGCAAAGAATGTGGTTCACAGTTTAGGACTGAAAGTTAGACCAAGAGAACCACTCAGATGCAGTCCAATGCGCTTGGTCTCTAGTCTGATCTTTCTTCACTTGACAGGATGGTGGTAAGCTGAGATTCAAGTAGCCACTCAAGAAAGTGATTAGTCGTTACGGGAGATAGGGATATTGAATTTTAGATAGTGAACTCTAAACTCAGACTCCAAAGAGCCATCTCCATGCCTATTAGTGCTCTTTTTGCCCAAGGGGCTGATCATTGCTTGTTAGCTCGACAAGGTCAACGCTAGTAACCCGCTCTGGTTTCTTAGATTGATGTGTGGCTTACAGATACTGAAATTCATGCAGGTGTGGACGAAGTTGACGGAAATCGGACCACCTACAACTTGTTAGGCTTTCCTTGTTATGTTCATAAATAGAGTGAGTTGGCTGGCACTCGTAGTCTGACGTCTTTGGAGTAATCTCTCGGTTTTGAGGCTCCATGGGTGCCGTGCAATAATAAGAATCAAAAAGTCTTTCCAAGTAGAGTAGGCTGATGCATTAGGTTTTGAGAATAGGTCCTAACTAATGAAATGGAAGCCCTTTTCACTATGTCAAACTTTCCACATGGCTGTTGACCTTCACAGATTGTCATGGTTCGCTAACACCCACCCGATTTTTTCCACCCTTCACAGATGCCTTATGTTGAATGCGCCTAAAAGCCCCAGCGGGGGTGTAAGACCAATCATCCTTATCCTATAGTTCCAACATCAACGCTAGAAGCATGCTTTCTCTTTCTGATATTGACGTGACTGCTTACAAAGACTGGGAAAGGACTCGTGGGAACTGCTTATTAAGTCTTGCTATAATCCCCTACCTTATTCCTGACGTTACACACTTCTCGATAAGTCTAGACACAGATGTAAAGGTATCTACAACTATCTTTATAATATCTTTGGCTCGATAAAGGGGTTCCCCTTCTTCTATGTGAGGTGGGGCGTACGTCAGAGCGTCATTCAGCGGTTAAAGCAGATCACTGTACTTCGATTTTGATAAGTCTAATGGATACGATCCTCATTCATTGTGCATCTTGATCAATTGGATGGATATCGTATCCGTGGCTACTGCAGTTTTACCGGTCTGCCTGTCCCCAATAATTAATTCTCGCTGACCACGTCCGATAGGAATCATCGCATCAATAGCAATAAGTCCTGTTTGAAGAGGCTCATATACGGAACGTCTCGAAATAATACCAGGAGCGGGGGATGAAATTAACCGAGAGTCAGAAGCTGAAATTTCACCTCGGCCATCAATAGGGCCGATTCAAGCTTTCAAAGATGGAAGACAGGCAAAAAAAGTCACCTACAGACATAAACCCCTATTTAAAGACCAACAAAACCTATGCTCAAAAAACCACACCCAACTATCCCATAAAACTGAACACTACTCACACATCTATCCCATAAAACTGAACACTACTCACACATCTATCCCATAAAACTGAAGACTACTTCCACTAAGCATATCAACTCTCTATTACTACTTTTTAAAAGATACTCCACTCATCTCATACTACAATTAATTCGCAGGAACGGATCTTAGCCAATTACCGGCTTAGGCTTTCGCGAGAGCACCAGTAGGCGCGCGTAGGTGGGAGCATCCAAACGAACCAGCAGAGGCAGCTGTGGAAAAAGTCACCTACAGACATAAACCCCTATTTAAAGACCAACAAAACCTATGCTCAAAAAACCACACCCAACTATCCCATAAAACTGAACACTACTCACACATCTATCCCATAAAACTGAACACTACTCACACATCTATCCCATAAAACTGAAGACTACTTCCACTAAGCATATCAACTCTCTATTACTACTTTTTAAAAGATACTCCACTCATCTCATACTACAATTAATTCTAACTAAAACCCATGTTTCACATACCCTAGCTGCATCCCTCATCGACTCGACTTAAAGAAATGAAATCCTGAGACGAAGGGAACTCCCTTACTTCATTCTATAGGCTTTTCCTCATAAGGATATGATTCAATAGTGAGTTCACGGGGATCAGGGATTTTGGCATCTAGCGGCCGTTAGATGTCCTTTATAGCCACCGTTACAGAATTGGAAAGATTGGAAAAGAAAGAGATGTGAACACAAGCCCGTTCGAAGCACCTCTTTTTACACTATTTCGGAAACCCAAGGACTCAATCGTATGGATATGTAAAATACAGGATTTCCAATCCTAGCAGGAAAGGGAGGGAAACGGATACTCAATTTAAAGTGAGTAAACAGAATTCCATACTCGATCTCATAGATACATATAGAATTCTGTGAACAAGGGAAAGCTCCGGAAGTCAAGACGAAAGAGAAAACAAGGGAAATAGGTTCATTCTGTAGCTAATTCCCATTGTTGCCATATCCCATTTTTCGCCAATAGAGACCATTACCCAACACACCCTCTGAGGTAGGAAAGGCTAAGGAAATACCTTATCTTACCTTATCATGAGGTTGTCATATCCTGTTTTTGCCATTTCTGTATAATACTGCAGTGCTTTTAAAAAGTAGTAATAGAGAGTTGATATGCTTTTTTTATATGTCTGTTGGCTTTACCTTTTTTTAAAAGTATGTATGTGCGTAGTTCAAGTTTTCGCCCTATTCACCAAGGACTATTTTGGTTGCTCAACAAGATATGCCTTGCCTGCATTAAGATTTCAAACTTGTCGTCTACTTTTAGGAAATGTTCGGAACAGAGAACTTACAATAATATAGCGCTACTTTCAATCAACCTCAAAGCCCTGCAAGGGATGTGAAGATGGAAAGCCCATTCAGTAGCTTTGTTAGGGGAGGATCGACCCGTTCAGTAGAATTCCGAAGAAAGACTGTTGGCAGCTAGTGGAGACATTTCTTTGGCCCCCTTCAAAAAAAGGAAATGCGGGCTGGGTGAAGCTCGGCAGAGAGTTCGAGAATAGGGTAGGGCCCTGCCCTTAAGATGAAGATCAGATTCGAGTTCCAAACCTTTATGCAGTACGAGCTGAAAGGCTCCCATACTGTTTGGAGGGCAGGGGGCATAGATGCCAAACAAACCTGACCCCTATCTATCGTCGTAGAAGCAGTTCCTAGGAAAGATTATGGTTCTCGGGTATCCAATCAAACCAGAAGATAACTCAACCACGAGTAATGGGTCGTGCTCCACTAGTTATCGAAGTTCTCTTACAAGCCTTATTCGCAGTACAGCTAATTAATTAATTATTTCTTTCAAAATCCAATTTGTTCAATTCCCAGAATTCCTCACATGTTGCATGAACCCTCATTCCTGGAGTATAACAAACGACTTGAATTTCATTATCGATTACCAGATCAAGCCTCACAACAGTTGCTGGGGAACAGGGAGGATGAGAACATAGAAGACTGATATCAATAGACTGGGAAAGGACTCGTGGGAATAGACCCATTTATTAGGGCTTTCCTTTTTCTGTGGTCAGCACCAATCGTGTTTGGGTCACGAAGCTTACCCAAAGATGATTGATGTTTTCATTCGAGAAAGACACTCCTGGCTGAAGTAGCTCAGGGAATAGAGGTTCCGGTTCAGGAGAATTAATCTTTCATCTCCCCTCTTTCTTTCTTGAACTGTAAAGGAGATAGGTTCCTCTGACCAAATCGTCATCTGACCCTATCGACTTTTTGCCATATCCCATTGTTGCCATATCCCATTTTTCGCCAATAGAGACCATTACGAGCAAATCTTTCTTTCATTTTCAGAGTCTTGAAAAGAGACCGAGTGAAAAAGGGAGCAAGAAAGAAGCCGGCCGAGGTGATTGAGTTCAGGGTTGTTCCGTACGGGGCAGGTTCAGAAGACCACTACTTCGCTTCTTTGTTGGACCGCCGGTATGGGGTACGAACAAGATAGCTTACTTGAAGTTGAGCCCTTATCACGATCTAGCCCTGACCCATTTATTAGGGCTTTCCTTTTTTTATGAAACCATAGCTCCAAGTGAGCTTTAAAAGCTGACCTAACCTTACCGGTAAAGGAGAGGAAAGGCAGGCAGGCGAGATGGACTGAAAGAAAAGCGTTTTAGATAAGTTTACACGGAGGGACAAGGGGACCAAGGAAGAGAGCATTCCATACTTGATACTTCTCTTTATCTTTATCAAGTATACAACGAACGTAGGAGTTAAGAGCTGAAGTTAGAGTTAGGCAAAGGATTACCATACTCTCGAACAATGGTAGAACGATAGCTAGTTTAATAAGATAGAGGTGGGAAAGCCTACGGTACTACCGTAAAGGAGGATGGATTCATCACTTCGGGCCAAATCGAAGACTTAGAACGAATCGACCACTAGACGTTATGCTTACGTAATGAACTCTTTTGTTTGCAGATGTAGGACTGGCTTGACAGACTAAGGGAAATGACCACTGCTACGACTTCCCCCACTACCACTAACTGATAGACCGACTAGCTGGAAAGAATCGTAAGCTTCCAAGGCGGGTAGGTCGGCTAAACAAAAAGAAAATGGCCCCATTTTCCTCAGAGGAATAGGGTTACAAACCTGTTGACACAATCAAATTTTTCCTATCAATTCACTTCCAATCGTATCTTTGATATATTTGATCATATAGAATATATAAATAGTTGAAGCTTTCGTAGAGAAACTGTAGGTTCTGCTAGGGTAGCTGTTCCTCGGTATTGGTAATCAGTCTCGTTATTCACGTTCGAGCTCGCTGGGGAGTGCCTTGTAGGGAAAAAGAGGTTATCTAGGCAGATAGAGAAGAAAGAATATTAAATGAGAGTTGCGTGACAGCGCCTCATCCAAATGAGACTTGGAAAGCGAAAGCAAGATAGGTCCTTAACTGGGAGGTAGGAAGAAGACTACACGAGTGGTTCAGGAAGGAAGATTTTGAACTTTCTGGTGCCATAGGTTCGACTCCACCCCACTAATAGTAGTGAGCCGTACCGACTAGCTCCTAGCAAGTGATTCAAGATCACAGTAATGCCTGCCAACTTTGTTGCCTTGGGTACGAATGTGATAGCTTTCTCTAGACACCATGGAAAAGATCACTGACGAGCTCAATCTATAAGTGTGAAATTGTCAGTTTCCTCCCCTCTTTTTGAAGCTAAGAGATCATATGGGTCAAAAATTCTCATTTCTTAGTTACAATAAAGAATCCCTTCTCAAGGAAGTGATCCTTGAGCCACTCATTTGAGCCAGCGGATTCCTATTCTGCTGTGCTGGTGCGCAAAGCAAGCACGCTTAGACTGCGATGAGCAATCTTTGGTCTGCCTATGCTAGATAGTATGACCTATTGTATTATTGTATTGGTATGGGTATGGATGAAGAAGGATTCATTCTTAGTATTAGTAGTAGACCCAAGGCACGGTAACTATTCGAAATTCTCTATAAATCTCTTAGGAATGCTTCTCCTTCCCATAGTCACTCAAAGACAGATTCTTAATTTTGAATTAAGGTAGCTTATCAGAGTTAGCTCTTGAGCGGCCTCTGTCGAGCTGGGGCCTAAGCAACCTCTATTGTGTTCTGCATTTCGTTATATTCCTTATCTTCAGCCGCTTTGCGCCTTTCATACTATTTAGAATTCTCGATCGGGTTCTTTCACTCTTATTATACGAGAGGTTGCAATTCCTCTTTCAATTTAAGGGAGTGAATGTAGTAAATGCATAATCTACAGTGGATATGGTTTTAATATTCAAACAAGGGCGTCTTAGGAATCGACCTTTTTCTTTCTAAGCATTGTGGCCATCACATTCAAGGTATGGCTGGCGTACAACCTAAAGGCTTCTTAGCTGGAAAAGAAAGTGTGGTTCTTTAGGCCAATCTTAGAAAAAGAACAAGGAGGATATGTAGCACTGCTGGATAGACCATGGCTCCAACCAAGGTGGTACATGACTGGGCTAAAAAGAAAGTCTCAAGCGGGGAAAGGCGGATAAAAAATTGGATTTCGCTCTACTGTGGGTGGCAGAGTAACAAGATGTATGAGGGGCATTTTCCTGGGATTACCTAGATAAGAAGTCTACTCATTGCATTGTCGTCGGCCGCTGGAAAGAAAGACCAAGGGAGGCTGTGGACGGCAACAGACGAGGTGGTTCTTAAAAGCGCAGTCGCTCGCGCATGGATGATAACAAACGTGGTCGTTCTCGTGATAAGCCGTGAAAAGGAGACTTCCAAAGGCAAAGTGAAGGTGGCTGATTCATCACCTGTCTCTACATCCAATTCCTTTTCCGCTTTGGAGATGGATTCAAGTCAGTGGTCGATCGACTTTGATTCTTCTGCTCGTTCCCTTCCCTTAGGGAAGCTAGTTTCTTGTCATCCCATCCGAAAACACCTCCTTCTCCCATAAGAGTGTCAGCCCTCCTGACTTAGCCCTAACTTCCCCCGCAATGCAATTAAAAACAACCTGAGTGATTCTTTTCACTTTTAGATATTCCCAGTTTACATTTAGTTCCACTAGGGAGGAATCTTCTTTACAAATGAGCTCACGGAGAGCTCGGACTTTGGTTCCCAAGCCCTCGATAGTTCCAAACGAGGCAATTAATGAAGACCTAGGGACTAGCCGGACCCAATCTCCACCGATAAGGAAGGTTTGGTAACACATTTATTGGAATCCTTGAATGTTAGGCAGACCATCATCGTCATCTGGCTTGTTTGGACCTCCGTGACAAAGAACAATGGAATCGATGGTAAGAGTCTTCCTTTCCTCTCGTACCTCTGCTCTCTTCCAATGACCTGTCTTCCTCTTTTTCACACCGTGATCCTTGGCTTTTGAAATAAGAGGTCGGATAGATAGGGGTCATGCGTTTTGGATACAAAAAATGGGTTTTTCCCTTATTAGTCAAGTTGCTTGAGGCTAGAAAATTGGAATACAATCTAGAGGATTTGGTAGAAGAATCTATGGGTTCGTTAGGAATAGATAGTTGTTGTCTGGACATACGAGTCACAGCCGGCTGGGAACTTGGTAAAGGAGAGACCAACGACGAAGCTACTAGCTACTAGTTGGAAAGAAAAGGACAAGACCACCTTTCGTACATTTCTACTGGTCCAGAATTCGAATAGCGAACGAAAGACCAGGCAATCTTCGAGGTACTTCCAGCAGGGTTGACGTAAAAAAGCCTCATTCAACTGGAAGTAGGAAATCAATCCCGGCACGACCGATGACTTAGTCTCCTTCTACGCTTCGACTCAAACACCTACCTAGCTCATTAGAAAAGATCTGATAGATAGCAGCTACCTAAGGCGCTTAGGCCCCCCTCACCAATCATGTTCATCTAGTAAGCCCTAGTACTATGTTCTCCAAGCTTGACTATAATAAAAATAGAATAGGCAGGCCTTTTAGAGAACATTGGGTTAGCTCTGCCTTGTTGTGATAGGAGGCTGAGGGGTGACTGATCTAGCCAGTTCAAAAATAGGTTAACAAAAAATGGTGTGTACGGTCTAATGTAGCTAATGTGACTTTCTCGATCTATAGTTCCACTTTCTTTCTCTTTCCTATTGAGATAGGAAAGTAGGGACGTTCTAAGCACATAAGCGTGAGATTTCATTTTCTTAGACATCTTATAAAAGAAGGCACTGTCAACTTAGTGTTATGTGGTACTCAAGATCAACTTGTTGATTTGTTGACAAAGCCTCTCAAGTTGGAAGCATTTCAGAAAGTGCGCAAATCGCTTGGTGTATATGATATTTCAAACTTAAACTTATTCGAGAGAGAATGTTAGGAGTGAGTGGTCTAGTAAACTTCTGTTTCAAAAGATAGTTCTAGTGTTTAGGTGGGAAGGTTGAGATTTTTGTGTTTATTATGTGTGGTTTCTATCTTTTTATAAAGATTATATAATGCTATGCTTAGAATTAATAAAACTGTACTTGAAATCTAAGTGTTTATGTTCTCTGTTCTAACAATCCGCTATTGAACTTACTAAAAACTCCGGAAGTCCAACGGCGACGAGGAAATGCGAAAGGATTCTATGGATGGAAATGCTTAAGGATTAATAGCAATGAACAAAAAACATAATCTCAAACTTAAAAGATTAAAATGTCAAATAAAAGAATACGATAACCTAAATACAACCGCATATATATTTTTCATTATTTTGGTATCAATGTATAAAACAATCCAGGTTGCTTATGATGCACTTGTTATCTTGTCTCGTATGATGCATTTACAGTGGGTGTTCGTGCATACTTAATGTGTATCCAATCATACAAGGACTAAAATCTTTTTTTCTAAAAAATAATAATAATGTACTAAAACTTTACCTTATAGTCCTTCAGATTCCATATCTACATAAACATACGTATACATGATCTAATGTTTGTTTAGTATAAAGTTTTATAATTTGTTACCACTTGAATAAGAATAGGACATCCACAATGCACATTTAATTCAAAACAACCATGATATTGACACCACATTGCCAGCCTCTTGAAAGTTACACAAAGCATAGACAATTCATTTAATATCATGTACATAAGATTGTAATGAGGCAAAAGATTTTATATCTCCACCTTCACAAAAATAAATAAATAAATAAAAAGTATAATCCGATCCAATCACGAGGGACTCGGTAAACACCCGAGCATCTGCAACTCTGGATTGAGGCTCAAATCCTTCACCTTCCTCATATACAATTTCTTCATGTTTCCCCTTTGATCATGCACCAATCGAACCAAGCTTCGTTTCGCGTTCGCTCGAAATGGACATTTTGACGACAAGAACCCGTCCACTAGATGTAAATACGCTTCCAAATCATGGCAGCACGCTACGTCGGCGTTTGGCTTCAAGTACGGTGACATCTTCGTCTCCACTCGAAGCTCTGTTCCGACGTGGGAGTATGTTACCGGCGGGACTTGCGTTATTAGATCTTGAGAGTTCACAATTCTCAATACCTTCACGTTTCGTGATGTTATTCGATTTGCAAATGCTGTGTTCCCAACTCGTGGTCCGCCGAATGAGAACACCGCCACCGGTGGAACCGTTGGTGAACAAACGCTGATCTCGTCTGCCACCAGGAGCGCCAATGCTGCGCCTAGGCTGTGTCCGGTAACAGAGATGCTTAGCGTTTCTCCTTTGTAAATTTCCATCAGTCGTCGGATCTCCTCCACCACCGACTCAGATAAGCTCTTCACATGTGCTCCCGCGGTTTTATACAGGCTGAGAAACCCACACTCGACTTTCGGGTCACTGGAATCGGTGTCGGTTGGGATGTTGGTGAGTTGAGCTCTAACATTTTCGGCCCATTCGAGACACGTGGCGGTGCCACGGAGGGCGATGACGATATCCCGCCGCCCCATACGAGAAATTTCACGGCGGTCATCGCAAACTGCCACGTATCCCATCCAGCTTGACCGTTGAGTCATCCAGCCAAGATCAGGAGCGACCTCATCGACCCAGCCAGGTAAGCCGACGGATGATGTGGCGTAGAGACTCTTAGTGACTTTGTAGGATTTATCTGGAAGCGCCACGTGTCGAGGGAGTGGGGCCTCATTGAGTGACATGGCAGGGTTTGAGTGGAATGAATGGTATGCTGATTGTACAAACTCGCCGTACCGGACGACTTCACGGCGGAGATTTTCGTCGAGCGGGTCGAGTAAACCGGACCAGTCGTTGCAACCGTGGTACTCGCGCCATCGCCGGCCGAGGGAGTTTCTTGGTGAATACTCAACCGTTTTCGAGAGCAGCCGCTGCAGCCGGTTCAGGTTTCTCGGCGACATGTCCTCTGCGGCCCTCATCTCCGGCCAGATTCTTGCCAGATTCAGCCCTTCGAAAAGCCCCTTTCCTTTGATGGGCATCTCCGATCCCTTGTTCGGGTCTTTGAAAACCGGTTCCGGTTCGACCTTGGCAGGCGTATCGGTTTTCTTCAGCAACTTGTCCAGGTTCGCTAGGTGTCGGCGAGTCCCATCAACCGCCGCCGTCGCCGGTCTGAAATAAGAAACCTTCGCCGCTGACGGGTTCAACGGCGACATTTGGTACTTGAAACTCGACCGGCGGACCTGAAACCGGGAGAGATTTTGGGCCGGAATTGTAGAATTTATTATTTGCATGGTTTTTAGAGAGAGAGAGAGAGCGGCGGCGTTGTGAAGTAGAGACACCGCGTTGGACGACGGAAATGAAGCTGAAGGAAAACGGAGGAGGTTTTATAGCAGAAGGTTTGGGAAATAGCCTTGATTTATGAAGAAATTACGAAGTGTGCCATTGAAAACAATAATAATAATAATAATATTATATTATATAAAATAAAATAAAAAGCTGACTGTTTCATTCAGATTACGAAGAAAATCGAAGAGGATTCCTCAAAGGCAACTGTTAAACCGTGTCTGAGGGCAAAACCGTCTTTTCCTCTTTTTATTATTTCTTTTTTGTTTTTGAAACTTATATTCCTTCACATATTGGTGGGATCAATACAAATCCAACAACCTCTACTATGTCCTTTGAAATTATTTTAACTATTAATTTTCTTTCCTAAAAAATAATAATAAAAAGGAGAGAGAAAAAATAAAATAAAATGATTACGATGTTAAAGATATGATGACTAAAAAGACTTAAGAATTGAAAATCATTGCTTATAAGGTGCACTCCCTTTTTCGGTGGCTCAATTGTAGTGTTTTGTTTGGAGTAATTCTATGTTGGGTGACATATTCATAATTTTTCTAAGATGCATGCGAGTGAGAACAAAATGATGCTAGAAAAAAATCATGTTCGTTCGTGGTGATAGTTATCACTCTTGAAGAAAAAATCGTGTTCGTCTGGGGCACACAATTGAGGCAGATGAAATCCGAATTTTGGGCATCTTTTCATTTGGATTTGGTTGCACCCTTTTAGACCTTCTTTTTTCTTCACCATGTCGCTCCTTCTCTTTTCTTCACGACTCAAATGAAAACGACTCATTTGCTCCTCTTTTCTTTTCTTTTACTTTTTATTTTCACTGTTTGAAAGAAACTGACTCGCTGTTCCTTTCCCATTATGTTCTTAGCTACGATTGGAGTATTCATCGTTGTAATCCTCATCATAATCTTCATTGAATTCTTTATACCATTTTTTCTCATTTTTAAGCTTGATTTAAGGTTTAGATTTGTACATAATCGGTTCTTAAAATTGTGTTAGATAAATTTTTTTTTGTAAGTTGACTATCTCCCAATGGCCCTAGGTTAGCTTTAGGTTAATGTAGTTATAGACACAAAAACATTTTGTTGATAATCTTTCCCAGAAAAAATGGGTCTTCTCCCGTTTTCTGCATCCGAAATGTACAACAACGTATGAGAATGAGAGATTTGAATCTCTAATTTCTTTTGTCAATCGTATGTGCTTATCGAACATAAGAATTTGATAAAAAGGAAAAAAAACGAAGTGAAAGATAAATGTTTGGTTAGATTAAATTGACTAATGTGAACCCAACAAAGAAAATGGTGGTATATTCAAAATTTTGGAAGCCTAGAATTCAAAAATGAGGAAGTTGGTAGGGTGGCATATGTCAGCTTGGGTGACATAGGCAGGTCCAAATATTTGGCTTACAAATAAGAACTGGCACGATATGGTAAACATAAAAGAGTTGATTTTTTAAGATCTTGAGTCATTCAAATGTACTTTCAATCCGTAGTACAAACAATTTAAAGTCAATTGATAACCTAGGAGAGAAGTCCAACTATATTTGCTTGTCAATCACGTGTGAAGAGTCAATTTATTTCCTCACCAAGCAAAACAATATCACCCTCTCCTTTGGAAACCCATTTCTTGAACTTATAAGAGAAGTTTCCATACCGTTATAAAGAATGCTTCGTTCTTTTCCCCAATCGATGTGGGGTCTCACAATTCACCCCCTTTGGAGTCAGCATCCTCGTTGGCACTTGTTACCTTTTCCAATCGATGTAGGACCTCCCAATCCACCCCTTTGGAGTCCAATGTTCTTGTTGGCACACCACCACGTGTCCACTCGGCTTTAGGGCTCAGCCTCCTCACTGGCACATCGCTCGATGTCTGGCTCTGATACCAGTTGTAATAGCCCACGTCAATCGTTAGCAGATATTCTGTTTGGACTCTCTCTTTCGGGCTTTCTCTCGAGGTTTTTAAAACACGTCTGTTAGGGAGAGGTTTTCACACCCTTATAAGAATGTTTCGTTCTCCTCCCCAACCAATGTGGGGTCTCACAATTCACTTCCCTTCGGGGTTCAACGTCCTTTTTGGCACTCGTTCCCTTCCCAATCGATGTAGGACCTCCCAATCCACCCCCTTCGGGGTCTAACATTCTTGCTAGCACACCACCTTATGTCCACCTCCCTTCGTGACTCAACCTCCTCACTAGCACATCACTCGGTGTCTGGCTCTGATATCATTTGTAACACCCCAAGCCCATTGTTAGCAGATATTGTCTTCTTTGAGCTTTTTCTTTCGGGCTTCTCTCAAGATTTTTAAAACGCGTCGACTAGGGAGAGGTTTCCAAACCCTTATAAAAAAAAAAAAAAAGCTTCATGAGACTCTCCAACCAATGTGGGGTCTCACATCAAGCTTAATTTTGAATGGTTCATATTATAAAATCGAAAGAAAGACGTTTGATTCACTAGATTAAGTTTATATAGTTCGAGATCATAGAACTTTAATTTCAAACCCTAATTCATACTTCTATTTTGGAATATACAATTTGAAAATGTAGCTTGGACAATAGAGTGGGCATGTTCTTGTGGTTGAAAAGTAACAAAGTTCAATAAAAAGTTTCTCTTTTTATGCAAATAAGTTGCGTGCACGGTATATTGGATTGTATCACATCAATCTTGAGGATAAATAAAACAAAAAAGTCAAATAACAATGAAATTAATGTCCATTGAAATAACTACTACACTTTTTATAAGTGGGAAAATATCCCACTTCCAAATCTCACTTGTGAAAGACATGTTTTATATGCTAACAAAATAGTGGTGGAAAAAAGAGCTTTGTTGTGTGTGGATGCTTAGCTTTTCCTTTTGGCCACAAAAAATATCCCCAAAACCCTAATTCATGATAGAGAATTGAAAAAATGGCATTGAAAAAGAAAAACCCTAAAATCTTATTGTTTGATCTTCCTTACAAAAACCAATCGAGTGGAATTGCACCAAGTCTAGTGTGAAATGATTTTGTTTGCATATTACAAAGTAAATGGAGATGAACCCAACCAAAAATAAATTAAACAAGGAATGGGTTTCATCATTTTCTAATATGCCAACATGTTTTTAGTGCAAAGTTCTCGTTTTTATATGCAACACAAGAAGTGGGAGTTGAACATGGGATTGGCTTCACCACTACTATTTGTTCACCCACCCAAACATATTTATGGAACTCAAATTAATTTCTTAAACAAAAACCCATCATCAATTCAATCATTTATCCCGGTCACCTTCACAATCTTACGACGGGTCTGTTAGGGAGAGGTTTCTACACCCTTATGAGGAATGTTTTGTTTTTCTCTTCAACCAATGTTAGATTTCGTAACCATCCCATTGAAGACCTAGTGTCTTCGTTGGCACACTACCTGGTATCTAGCTCTGTTACGTATTGTCGTCTGTCTTGGTCTGTTACATATTACCATCCGTCTCACGGTTTAAAACTTGTATGTTATGAATACTTCAGTCTTCTCTTCAACCAATGTGGGATCTCTGAACTCACCCCCTTTAGAGGACCCCAACGCCTTCGCTGGCACACCACCCAATGTTTGGCTCCGATACCATTTGTAATAGCCAAAACCTACCGCTAGCAGATATTGTTCACTTTGATCCATTACATATCATCGTCAGTCTCATGGTTTTAAAACACCTGTTATAGAGAGACTTCCTCACCCTTATAAAGAATGTTTCGTTCTCCTCTTCAACCAACGTGGAATTTCACATAAAATATCGTTAATCGTGTATTAAGGAGATTAAATTACTAATTGTACTTAAAACATTTAGAGTTCATACTTGGGTTGAAATTTTTGTTATGAAAAGAACATTTTTGGTATAATTGGATTGTATGAGAGAGAAGAGAGTTCACATGTTTGGCTCACTCATGTCAATACTAAACTATAAACAATCATAGTAATGAATCTCATGCTAATACTTTAACTTATTTCACCTCTTAAAGTCTTCTCGAATACTCATATTTAGCCTTCCAATTTCTTACGTACCAAGTTTGACTTAGGGCCAAAGGGAAAAAAAGTTAAGACCATTTCTAAAATAAAGATGCTATTACCAAATCTAATCCTTTTAATAAATAACAACCTTTAGTATTAAATTATAGTTTATATTTTATTATTAGGTAAATATTTAGATATTTATTTTTTTATAGGTATATTTCTACTTATTACTCTTTCCATATTTTTATAATTTATTTGATTATAAATACAGAACTTTTCCATACCATTTAGGTGGGGTAGATTAAGCAAACCTTCTTATGAAGACTTTTAATAAAAAATTATTTAATATATGAATTAAAATTTAATAAAAATTTTTATAATTATATTAGTTAGACGTGCTAATCACTTATCAAATGACCTATCAAAGGTAAAATTCAAAGTCGGATAAGATTTATTAGACAAATTTTAAAATTAAAATATTAAAAAAAACACAAATTTAGAAAATTTAAAATGTTATTATTAGAAAAATAATTAAAAATAATTAAAAATAATGAAATTATTGAATATTTAAAATTATAAGAATCAACATATAAAATAAAAACGTAAATGAACAAATAATAATAAAAGAAATAATTAAGGAGGTGGCGAGTCGCGTAGGCAAAGCGCGTGTAACACGGTATTGAGACACGTAAGAGTTGAAAAAAAAAGGAAAACAGAAAACAGCGTAAATTAGCTGTAGGCTCCAAAAGTGCGCCTTAGAAGAATATTATAATTTTGCTTTCGTAAGAGTAAATAATTTAATATCATATGCGTGACATTTTATTTAATATACTTTTCTCTCCCCTTCTTAAATACATTTATGTTTGCTTAAGGTTCATAGTCCAAACAACCATCCGTTTCAAAAGTCACTGTCTCTTTATGTATTATAATTTAAGAAATAGAGACGAAAGATCAAACCATCTGTCGCTTAGTGTAATTGAAATGCCTAA